GTAACTAAACTATTCATATTCGTGTCCCTCTTATTATAAGCTTTATTTTGACTTATAAACTATTATTATATGATTAACCCTTATTGAGTTATCTCCAGTCTATTGATTACTGTTCCCCCCTATTCACAGCCACATTTGGCCAAATCTCGTACAAATGTTATTTTCCATTTTGTGGTACGATGTGGTTAGTTTGTTTTGTATATAAATTCAGTATGTTTGAGAATAATGATTCATATTGCGGAGGCGATCAATAAATTCACTGCTCTCCAATTGACCGCACGCACTTAATCGATATAACAGTAGTAAAGACATCCACTCTACTCTTCTCCGATGATATAAAGATTTACAGACTAACACAAAATATGTCAGATGTAATAATACAACAAGATGACCCTCAATCATTGCTTAAATGGATGGGCAGGTCGTCCTTAAAAGTAAACTCTTAAAAGAGTAGGAAGATGCAATAAAATAACTGCGATGATTCGTATCACTACACAGCATGCGAAGTTACTAACTAAGGCCTGTTACTCCCAATGAAGCATAGGCCACCGACCAGCATTCTCCAAGTCACTCTGTCCTAGGCCTTTCTTTCTAGTTCCATCCAGTTGTTGTTCATTCTTCTTATATCTGCTTCCATTTCCCGGTGTAATGTGTTCGTTGGTCTTGACGATTACAAGTGAGGGCTGACCTTGTGACGCAGTTCGGTGATTTCCTCAATGTGTGCCCAATCTACTTCCAGCGCTTCTTCCTGATTTCTTCCTCCACTGAAATCTGGTTTGTTCTCTCCCACAGTAGCCTGTTGCTTAAAGTGTCTGGCCGACGGATCCGAAGTATCTTGCGTAGACAACTGTTAATAAACACTTGTATCTTCTGGATGATGGCCTTCGTAGTTATCCACGTCTCCGCCCCATACAGTAGAATTGTCTTGACACTTGTATTGAAAATTCTGATTTTGGTGTTGGTTGACAGTTGTTTTAAGTTCTAGATGTTCTTCAGTTGTAGATATGCTGCTCTTGCTTTGCTGATCCTCGCCCTCACATCTGCATCAGATCCACCGTGTTCATCAATGATGCTGCCCAGATATGTGAAGGTTGTAACATTCTCCAAAGCTTCTCCGTCAAGTGTAATTCGATTGGTGCATGTTGTATTGTATCGGAGAGTCTTGCTTTTCCCTTTGTTTATATTGAGACCTACTGCTGCTGAGCCTACTGCTACATTGGTCGTTTTCAACTGCATTTGTTGTTGCGTGTGTGATAGGAGGGACATATCATCTACTAAGTCTTGATCGTCCAACCGCATCCTATCTGTCCTTTGTTTTCCCCAACACAGATCTTGACTTCTTCATAATCCAGTTGATCACCAGGAGAAAGAGAAAGTGTGAGAGTAAGCAACCTTTCCTAACACCGTTCTTTAATTCGAACGAATCTGTCCTCCATGCATGATTTGGTAGTTTAATCCATCGTAGGAATTTCGTATGATATTGACTATCTTCTCAGGCACGCCGTAGTGTGAGAGAAGCCTCCATCGTGTTGTCCTGTCCACGCTATCAAATGGTTTCTCGTAGTCAATGAGGTTGATGAATTCCATTCAATTGATTGTTCCACAATGACCCGTAGAGTTGCAATTCGGTCTGTACACGATCGATCCCTGCCAAATCCAACCTGTTGATCTCGAAGTAGGGCGTCTACGCAGTCCTTCATTCTGTTTAACAATACCCTGTTGAAGACATTTCCTGGTATTGAGAGAAGAGTGATGCCTCTGTAGTTATCACACGTGCTGAGATCGCCTTTCTTTGGCATCTTGATCAGAAGTCCTCCTTTCCATGCTGTATCCCGAAGAAAAGCAATATTAAGCTTTTGTTGTGCTGTCTGTCCCGTTGTAATACTTCTTGAGTATCGGTTTCATCTTGGCGACCAGCGAGTGCTGATCTAGTGCCTCATCAGCTCCACTCCTGGTTCTCTCCTGGTTCCATCATCTTCCTGAACATTTTGTTGATGCAGATATGGTTCTGCGTAGTACGGTCCGGTGAAGTCTATATGGTTTTGTGAATGCGTTTGTGTGAGAATATAATGCCGTCTGTGACCAGTTTATTGAAGGCACATAGGTTTGCAAATCTCTCACCATTTTCGTTCCTTTCACCCAGTCCATGTCGTCCCATGACGTCTTCGTATCCGGTGTTATCCATTCCAAACTTGGCACTTGGGTCTCCCATAAGAATGGTCAAGTCCTTTGTTGGGTATTTCTCAACGATTGACTGCAGCATACCGTAGACTCGATCCTTAACGTCTTCATTCTAATCGTTGGTAGGCGCATAGCATTATATGACAATCATTGTAATGCTCTCTTTCTTTGTTTTGAAGGAGGCTTTGATGACCCTTGGTCCATGAGATTCCCCTTCTATAAGTGCACTTTGTGCTTTTTTTCTATAGCATTAGTGCAACATCTTGTGCATGTGAAAGATTTTCCTCTTCATGGCCGGAGTATAACAGCAGCTCTCCTGAAGCTAGTCTTTGTTATCCAACCTGCGTCCAACGTGTTTCACTGATTCCAAGCAACTCCAGGTTGTGTCTTTTCATTTATGCAGATATTCGGATGGCTCTCTTGATCTCTAAACATTTTAGGAACGTTCCATATACCTAAATTAATGGTTGCTCTGGTTGTCGGAGTCATAACTCTTCTGAACGAAGACCTTTTAAGTCCCAGGACAGAGTCTAAATGGTTTGAAATGCTTTTTGGTTCGCGAGTTTTTAGCGAGTTAGTTTTCTAAGGGATGTGGTCGCTAACCCCGTACCCAATTTCCTCCGTTATCCGGGCTTTGGACCGGCAGTAACCCCTGAGCGGCTCCAGGTGTAATTATAAATGATTGCCCATAAAGATCTAGGGGTTATCGTAAACAGCGACCTAAAAACTACGAATGCCTGCAAGGCTGCTCCAGTCCAAAAGCCTCAGGATTTTATTGACTATTCGTAAGTCTTTTCATTCTAAGAAGTTCAGTCGTTTACAGCTGGAGTTCCTTTTCTGGCACCGCGTAGTGAACTACTGGAATTCTCTACCGGAACACTTAATTTCATTAGGTTTTGTTGATGATTTCAACAAGAAGTTGGACCTCCACAACGTTACAAATTAAAAAGATTATTATAGGTCATTAGACCTTTCCTTATAACTGAAGACAGAAATAACTGTCCAGTTAAGGGATTGATTTAGGATGATGGCTTCGTAACTCAGATCCCCAAATAGTACCACCTCTTAAAATTTTGAAGTTTAACCTGTTCCTCAAATCTTTCCCTCTTTTTCTTTTTGTTTAACGGATTTCGAAAGACTTGTCAAACGCCTCGTTATTTGGAATCGTTTAGTGTGACCTTGAGGGTGCTGCCCAGGTTAGATTGCGTGTGGACTTGACTTGGTCTTCACATCCTTCACCAATAAAAGCTACTTTTGCGCGTCTTATTTTTTAAGTCATTTCAGTTCTTGACGCGTTCAAAACAATTAATCGTTGTGGTCAATCGCGAATAAGTATGAATCCATGGAGATTGGATCCAATCTCCTTATTTTGGGGAGATTTTTGTCTGTTTTGGATAAATTCTGGGGAAGTCGTTTAGGAAAACTGTGTTAAAATAGAACAAAACCCTCAACATTTTACTCAGGACTGGTGTTCATTCTCACTATAAAATCGTCTACACAGAGTACGTATACTTCTTGTTTGTTGGTTAACATTAGAGGTCCCACATATTTGACGCAAATCAATTAAATGATACATTAAAGTTGTCGTTTGAATTTTAGATTGAGGCAAAACTCATGCAACTACAAACAATTTTCCCTAATAATCAGATTTCAGTGAGTTGTCGGAAGTCGTTTAGGTTCCCATTACTGATGTTCCTGATTCTGGCTTTTAAACTCCCGAAAGGTTTTCAAACCACTTTTACAAAATAACTGTATGGTATGATGAATATGTTTAATATTACTTATTGTAACTTATAAAAATCTAACTGCAAATAAATCATATAGAAAGTGGTGTGTCGTATATCATTTTGATTTATTTTCGAAGTCGAATAAATCCTTATCACCATCTCTTGGTTTCCACTACGCACCTTCGGATTTGCGGTTTTCAGTCTCAACTCAACCCAGTTAAGCATTTTGCAGTCATAATAGTACTAACATGACAGCCGAGACAGGAATTGCAATTAGTGAGCTCACTAGTCTTAAACTTCATTACTGCTATATAGCTGAGACTCATCAAACCTAATAAAATTGAGACACAAATAGAAATAGCTTTTATAGTTCTATTTATATCTATAAAGTTTAATTACTTGTATGTTTCAACTGTACTTGGAATTCGATTTTTTTCAAAACAGACTGGTTTAGGTAGTTGTCTTATAAAATGTACAGATCATCCAGACAAAACATAAATATAAAAACCACGAGAAACGTACACAATGTTGGTGATCCGGCTGTTCCCGAAACAAAGTGGGTTTAAATTACGTACATGTAACTTTGGTAATAAAATAGATCTTATAAATCTGGTCACTTAAACTCAGACTCGAAATGCTGTTTCGATAATGATCAGACTTCAGATTACCAGCAATGTAATTGCCTAATTACTGATAAGTATGTTGCATGAAAGGCTTGAGCTACTTTGTGGTCACCAATGAATAAGTTTTCATCATATATATTAGGAAACATTCAAGCGAATATCAAAGCTATACTAATTTACCTTAATGATACAATGATAACGTTTCAATGTTATACTTGTTATTAGTTTCTTGAGGTTAGTTGTTAGATGCTGTGCATGAGTGGCTACGAGTGTTGTAATCTTATACCATTCAGAGTGTTATTTTGGATAATGAACAATATACCCTAATCGTTGCTGAATAAACTCATTTCACTATTCTTCTGTCTTTAGCAGATGCTTCAGTTTGCTTCTTGATCAGAATATTAAATTGTACAAATCTTCGTGTCATTAGCAGTCATCAATTGAACCTTTCTAGTGTCCTACTCTAATAATGTCTGAAGTAAATAGAGAAAATAGAGCTGAATATATACGGAGAATCCTTTTCTCACAACTTCCTGAAAGGTTTTTTAATAACTGAATTTTACATTCTTAGACGTAATGCTTTTGATGTTGACATGCTTCTTAGTGAATATGCTGAGTTGGTTGATAACATGAAGAATGGTAGGTACTAATTGGTGCTTCCTTATTTGTAGGGATTAATAATTACGCTGAGGGAGCACTCAGGCTCGCTGAAGGCTGTAAAAATGGTTTGTCCTATTCTTTTTATATATGCGTTTTCAGAGAGCAACCACTGGCGTAGCGCGATGACAGTCGACATAGCCTTAAATGCACTTGAAGGAGTTGTAAGCTTTACTTATTCTTACCGTTCACTATAGACTTTCAAACAATCCTGTCCCTTCGCAAATCAATCACTTCCCAGTGACTTTGATGTTACCAAATGTATGTTACTTATTTTTCGAAATTAACTATTATTAGTTTGTAGTATGTTAACTGAACTGTTCGATGGAGAAGGTTCTTCTAACCAGGTAACAAATTCATTTCTCATCTAAAATATGAGCAATAGAATACTAGTACAAGTATAATTGCCCAAATAAAGAGTTGTGCAACATTCGACCACACTCTATTCCCGTTGCACACTCCTTCAGATCTGTTTATTTATACTATACCTTTTACAGTCAAATTAGTATCAAGATTATGCCAAAGATGAAGCAGATGGGCATAAGCGCTCTAACTCTTAATATATTGACCTAATCTATTACGTAGCTATCAGCGTTCACATAACCACCCACACAAGTTTTTCTACCGATTCCAACAGTTCATCACAAAAGTTGGGTACATGAACAGGTTTACAAAAGTACTTTTAAAGTTCAACGTGCAAAACACTTCGCTTACTTACGAACATTAATTGGATAACTTATGTAACACCGCACAGTAAAACAACCTCATTTGTGTATTAGAAATCAAAGTGTCTCCAACGGATTCACATCATCACTACGTACTTTTCTAAGCACTGTTTCCAGAATATTATTAGTGGGAAAATTAAAAAGAAATGATGAGATTGAGCAACCCTGTTTCACCTTACTGTTGGATTAGAATAAGGGAAAGAAGTGATTGTGTTTATTTACATTCTTAAAGATGTTAATAAGCTTCTCAGGCATATCCTTCAATAGACCATCCCAGAGCGTTCTTTTGTCAAACTAGGTGAAAATAGCTTTGATATCAAAATACAGATATTGTTGGCCTACACTAAGTGTAAAGGTGTCGCAGCATCAACCACAGCGTGAAGATGTGGTCGATGTTCTTAAGATCTGAAAGAAAATGGTCCTGTTTATTGAAATAGTTAGAATAATTGTTCACAATTTTCTAAATATAATGGAAGCCAAAGGCTCCAAAACAATATAAGACAGGCTTGTGTCGTGATAACTGTTGCATAAAGTGCATAGGTCTATTTAAATATGGAAAAAACGATCGCTTCGCTTCAAGATGAAGGAAAGCTCTCCGTATCTATGATCTTGGCAAACTATCTAGTTAGTCCTCTCACCACAGTTTTCCTCAATCCTCGAAGAAGGTGGGAGTTGTTTGGTATGGTGATTTGTGATGTTTGAGTACGTAGAGTCCTTCAAGGACCTTTGTGCCTTTGTAAAGGATTGTTATTCAGCGACTAATAATCAAAAGACACTGATCGACATTACTAGGGCAACAAATCAGTCAGACTGTTCTCAAAGAACTCTGCTAAGTATTCGCGGTACCTTTAGGGATGTATGTATTGTCAACTACAAGCTTCTTTTCACCAGTTGTCCAGATAGACCAAAAGAGTTTCTGATGGTTATCGGGTACAACTGATACTTCCAACTCATTGGAACTCTCTGACCACCAAGTTGTTCTGATGCTGCTTAAGCTTTGTGAGGTTTTCCGAGGTTAAGATTTACAGATATAGTCAAACATGTAATTCATCGGAGTAGATCGCCCTTTAAATGATCTGGGGAAGTCTAGTATTTATGGACAGAATTCTCTAGATATCCACAAGTGACCTTACATGCTCCTGTCACCCATCATGGGGAGCATAAACCGCCCACCAACATTCTCCATCCAACTGTCCTAGACAATTCTTTTTGAGTCGTTTACAGTTTCCATTCATTATTTGAGGATGTTGTTTTTTCCCTTGTGTATGTTGACGCCTACTCACTGCTGAAGAGTCCGTTACTTACTACATTAGTTTTTTCTCACCTGCATTTGTTGGTGCGAATGGGATAGAAAAATTAGTTCAGTTCATAATACGGTTGCATGTTAACTGGGCAACTCGATAACCAAATGCATGTTTATGTTCCCAGCTCTTAATTATAATTTTGTTCCGGTGTCAGTAATATTCTGTGGCTACTCAAGGAGGAGTGAATCAAGATTAGATCTCACAGCTCAATAGTTTAGAGTTGACTATTGTCAACAGTAAAACAAGCCCCGTCCTCTGAAATATGAATATGTCTACTTCTCTAGGTCGTGTAACCAAAACTTAAACCGAAATTCTGTATGAAAAGTAAATGCATGAATAAATACCTTGAATACTAAACGTTGACGTACTTGCATCTCCAAATCCATATAATTAAAGTCGCACGTAATTACAGAGGTATTCTGGCGGAGTTTCGTCCCTACTTGAAATGCATCTGTCAGCTATCCTCCATGCACGACTTTGCAGTGTAGTCCGTCGTATGAATTTCGTATGTTGACGATATTCTAGGGTACACGATAGTGTCGAAGAAGGTTCGATGAGGTCCTTCTATCCACACTATCAAACGCTTTCTCATAGTCAAGGAAGTCGATGTATGGTGACGAATTCCATTCAGTTGATTGCTAAACAATGATCTGTAGTTTCATGATTTTGTCTATGCGCGACGGATCCTTGCGGAATCCAGCATGTAGCTACCGAAACTGGACGTCTACTGAGTATTTCATCCGGTTCAGCAACACTCTGTTGAAAATTTTTCCTGGTACCGACCGTAGTGTGATGCCTCTGTAGTTCTCATGCTTGCTCAGATCTCCTTTCTTTGGTATTTTGATGAGGCATCCTCCTTTTCAGTCTGTCTGAACTTGTTCTTCCTCCCAAATCTTCCTGAATAGAACATGGAGCATGTTTGCAGTTACTTCTATGTCTGAATTTAGTGCTCAGTTGATATGTTGTCAGGTCCTGCTGCTTTTCCACTGTTGATTTATCTCAGTCAGTCAGTTACAACGTAGAACTTCGTACGTACGTACATCAGTTCCAGTTGTTATACCAAATTAGCACAGAGATGAAGTTGTCGATTCAAATCCCATATTGGTAGAATTAGTAAGAGTATAAGTATTATGTGAAAGATAAGGGTTTGAAGATGTTATTGAATGAGTATAATACAGTGAAATAAATTTGGAAAGAGAAAAAGGTAAAGACATGAGGAATTCAGAAGATTAGAATTTGGGAGAACATAAAGAGTGGATACACCTTCGCCATTGCAAACGATTTTGAGCCATGTCATTCAAGGTCTCTAACCATCGGTTGCTATCATCTCGCGAATCCCAACCAGGTAGTCTACACCTACCAACATGGCTCAGTCCACTTGTCAGTGACTTCATGGATTTATGCCATGTTTTGATCTGGCCGCCCCTAGCTTTCTTCCAACCTACTCCTACACTATAAAGCATTGCACGTCGGGGCAGTCGGTGGTTGGGCATACGTAATACATGTCCCAGCCATCTCAACTGATGAAGTTTCACTACTTCATCAATCGATTTGCCATCCTTACCTAGTACCCGTTTCCTAACAGCTGCATTGCTTACCCGGTGGTCCCAGATTATACGAGCAATCCTTCGAAGACATCTATGATCGAAAACGAGTAGCCTACGAATATCCTCTACTCTTATGGGCCATATTTCACTGCCATAAAGTAGGACGGAACGGACTGCTGCACAGTAAACCCGTCCTTCTGTTGCTAGACGGATATCTCGCCTACGCCATAAATGGCGAAAGCTAGACGAGCCTTCTGTATCCGTGCTGAGATTTTGTCACACACCAGACCACAAGGGCTGATGAGACTACCAAGATAAGTGAAGCTGTCAACACGCTCAACTACTTCACTCCCTATCATTAGTTCAGGTGTCGATGCAACCCAATCTTGAAGTAACATTTTGCACTTCGAGGGAGAGAATCGCATCCCGAACATGCCTGCATTGTTGCTTATGGTGGTCATAAGACTCTGCATTTTGTCAGCGTCTTCACCAAATAAAACTATGTCGTCGGCGTATTCTAAGTCAATAAGTGAGCCTCCTGGTAAAAGTTCAACTCCTGGAGATTGAGATGATGAAAGTGTTATCTCCAAAAGCATGTCGACGACAAAGTTAAACAGGAATGGGGAGAGTGGACAGCCCTGACGAACACCACTTAAGGTAACCCATTCTGATGACAGTTCGCCATAGGCTCTAACTCGACCAGTTGTGTTCGAGTAGAGAGCCATGCTAATCTCTTCAATCGTTGCTGGAGTGACAGCTATAGAAAGGTCTGTAGGTGCTGCTTGTATGGGGTTAAGTGGGGCTGATCTCTTCAAGATTTCAGAGTGTCCTGTCAAATTGTTCAGTTGTTCTGGAACCTCAGTGATTGGCTTGTCTTCTTTGTCCCTGACTGGTCTCCCTGGTTTACCATATTTTCCTGCCGGTCTCTTCGTCATGTCCTATAGTTGTTTTATATTTCCTTCTGTTACAGCTTTTTGCGCTGTCGTTGCTAGGTCTTCCAGATACTCCTGCTTGTCAGCTCTAATGCACTTCTCTACTTGTTTGTTAGCTTTTTAGTGACCCTGGATCTGACTCCAGTTAGATCATTTGTTAATCGCTATTGAATGATTGCTGTCGAAATACGTTAGTCGCCTATCCTCGTATATAATTATCGACTTAACTCGCGTTAGTGTATAACGGAATTAAAATACGTCAAATGCTAGAAAGGACTTTAAATACGTATATTTTGTGCAATCATAGATCTAGATAGACATTCAGAGGGACGAAGCGAAACGAAATGACTCGCAGTGTAGAATTCGTGTGAGCCGACTTTATTTAGTCAAGCGTTAATCAATATTTATAGCCAAATAAAGTAAGTTACAGACATGTAATGAATGGAATAAGAAGTGTGCACACATGTGTGCTCATATAAAAATAGTCAAGGTTGATAAATGAATATTTAACAAGATCAAAACGTGACTCAAGAAAAATGGATGAATCGGCATGTCCAGAAGCTAGAATAATGCATATTGGCTTAACATAGCAACCGACGCTACAGCTTCTGTGTGTTCAGCTTGTTCCTTGGCTTGCTCTGCTCTTGTTCGGCTGTTCTTGATTGCTGTCTTTCTGCTCTTCCTTTATTGAATCTTGTCCAGGGTTTCAATAGAGATCCATTTTTTATGATGATGCTTCCTGCGGTCAAGTAACTCCTTAAATTATGCCATGGGCAGGTTTATATTTCTCTGGTAAATATTCGCTTATTTTATCTTAGCTATAGACCTATTATACTGTT